AATTAATTGTGAAATGCTTTCCCAGACACAAGAAGGTCTCTTGGGAGCAGGTCAGTTCTCAGGGGCCTTTCAGATTGGTTGATGTATACCTCCATGGCAGCTGACTTTTCACTTTTGAGAGAACAATTGATAACTCTTACTCATGGGAGAAAGTTTGGGTTTGCCGGTAAACATGTTTTAGAAACTCAGCTGCCTGGCTGCTTGTATCTGAAGGGCAGAAGGAGACATGGGAGGAAAGGCTTTCTGGACAGTGACAAATGCAAGATACTCCACTTTGGCAGGAAAAACGAAATGCAAAGATACAGAATGGGGGACAATGCCTGGCTCGAGAGCAGTACGTGTGAAAAAGATCTTGGAGTCCTCATGGGGAACAAGTTAAACATGAGCCAACAATGTGATGTGGCAGCAAAAAAAGCCAATGGGATTTTGGCCTGCATCAAGAGGAGCATAGTGTCTAGATCTAGGGAAGTCCTGCTCCCCATGCGCTATTCCGCTTTGGTTAGACCACACCTGGAATATTGTGTCCAATTCTGGGCACCACAATTAAAGGGAGATGTTGACAAGCTGGAATGTGTTCAGAGGAGGGCGACTAAAATGATCAAGGGTATGCAGAACAAGCCCTATGAGGAGCGGCTTAAGGAGCTGGGCATGTTTAGCCTGAAGAAGAGAAGGCTGAGAGGGGATATGATAGCCATGTATAAATATGTGAGAGGAAGCCACAGGGAGGAGGGAGCAAGCTTGTTTTCTGCCTCCCTGGAGACTAGGACATTAAACAATGGCTTCAAACTACAAGAGAGGAGATTCCATCTGAACATAAGGAAGAACTTCCTGACTGTGAGAGCCGTTCAGCAGTGGAACTCTCTGCCCCGGAGTGTGGTGGAGGCTCCTTCTTTGGAAGCTTTGAAACAGAGGCTGGATGGCCATCTGTCAGGGGTGATTTGAATGCAACATTCCTGCTTCTTGGCAGAATGGGGTTGGACTGGATGGCCCAGGAGGTCTCTTCCAACTCTTTGATTCTATGATTCTGGAGCTGATTTCCTTCCCACTCAGACTAGACTCTCACATCGATTGCGTGAAAAGAAAAATCTCAAGGCATGCCACTCAGAAAATAAATGAATAGAGGAGTTGGAGTTCCTTGTCTTGCAGAACAGGGATTCTCCTTTGACCAGAGTTTGCTGATTCGCATGGCTCTGCCTGTTGGAACAAGAGGCAGGATAACCAAGAGCTCAAGGATACTCTCCATCCATTGACTGGGAATTCCACGATGTGGTGCTTTTAAGTCTTCTTTCAGGACACAATATGTTTGAACATTTTGAAAATGAATTAACATTTGCATTTAGATCCATGCTTCCCACTACATCTTTTGCACGAATCTTTTAACAATTTGACTTCTGATACCTATTTCAGTGAGAACGATAGTACTTTGATATGTGGTGTATAAGCTGATCTCAACCAAATTAATGCAACCTGTTGCTGTATCATATGAGTTAGTCACCCCATCCATTTCAAGGCATGCACCAAGGAAAAGAAATAAAAATGTTGGCTTACCCATAATTATTTGCACAAACAAGAGTGCAACCCGTCGAGAATTTCCTGTAGGACTCATCTATCACATCAATGTAAAAGGATGCCATGCACATTGAACTCACATAATAAACCTTCTCTGCTATAGAGTGGAATCTCATATAGCTCCTCTTGACCCTCTCTATGCATTGCTCCATCATGTCTGGTTTTCCAGACATGATGGGGCAATTCACAAGCAGCAAAAGATGGGTGTACCTTGGAATACGTTGCGCCCCACAACTAGATTAAAGTATAAATACCTGGCCTTTGCTAGCTATTCATCATCAGTGCAGTAGCCCTGTCTATCAGTGGTAATGTCTTTGCCAACAAACCTACCAGTGAGATTACAGAGTACCTAAAATCAATGGGGACTGGGTGCAAGATAATCCCTACGAAGTACGAGGGGTATTTTTTAAAGTAAGGTCTGTTTTGTTGTAGACACTAGTAGTTCGCGCGCATACCGCAACGAGCATGTGCGTCGTGTACCGGCATGCCTCGGGAACAACTGTGCTCAGTTTCCGCTCATTCCGCAACATTCAGGATGTGTATCTGACAGACATTCACTCACTCAGTGGCTGGTGTGAAGTCCAACACGTGGTTCTTCGAGCAATGATAGACTGTGTGCCGCTCCTCTTCCAACTTTTTTCCCTGTTTCAAAAGTTAGTCAACAACCTGAGCCTTTGGAAATCCAGAATCTAAATTTCAAGTTTAATCTCTTGGCTAAAGACCCAAGAAGGGGATAAAATAGGTTAAGATGAAAGGTGTAGTTAGTCCCAAGTCTGCCAAAGAGCTTTATACGAGGGGTATTTTTTAAGTAAGGTCCGTTTTGTTGTAGACACTAGTAGTTCGCGCGCATACCGCAACGAGCGCATGCGTCGTGTACCAGCATGCCTCGGGAACAACTGTGCTCAGTTTCCGCTCTGTAGCTAACCTGTACGGTTCTGTTCTGTGCTTTAAAAATGTTTAAGACTATCAACTCACCCGCCGCATGTGAGGTTCGCTCCGTGATACGGTTTTTGTCAGCAAGGAATCTGCCTACTGCAGAAATTCATCGACAGATTTGTGGCGTGTACGGTGATACTGTTATTAGTGAAAGCAACGTGCGTAAGTGGGTATGACAATTCAAAGATGGCCGTGACAACGTCCATGATGAGGACTGCTCCGGTCGCCCTTCTTTGATTACAGACGATTTGGTGGCTTCAGTTGAAGCAAGGATTCGTGAGAACAGGTGCTTCACAATAACAGGTCTCTCAAACGAATTTCCTGACGTGTCGAGATCAGTGCTTTACAACATTGTTTCTGAACACCTAAAGTTTAGGAAACTGTGCTCCCGTTGGGTCCCGAAACTCCTAACAGAGGACCACAAAAACCAAAGATTTGAGTGTGCGATCAAATCAAATCGTCTGTAATCAAAGAAGGGCGACCGGAGCGGTCCTCATCATGGACGTTGTCACGGCCATCTTTGAATTGTCGTACCCACTTACGCACTTTGCTTTCACTCATAACAGTATCACCGTACACTTCACAAATCTGTCGATGAATTTCTGCAGCAAGCAGGTTCCTTGCTGACAAAAACCATATCACTGAGCGAACCTCACATGCGGCGGGTGAGTTGATAGTCTTAAACATTTTTAAAGCACAGAACAGAACCGTACAGGTTAGCTACAGAGCGGAAACTGAGCACAGTTGTTCCCAAGGCATGCCGGTACACGACGCACGCGCTCGTTGCGGTATGCGCGCGAACTACTAGTGTCTACAACAAAACAGACCTTACTTAAAAAATACCCCTTGTATAAAGCTCTTTGGCAGACTTGGGACTAACTACACCTTTCATCTTAACCTATTTTATCCCCTTCTCGGGTCCTTAGCCAAGGGATTAAACTCAAAATTTATATTCTGGATTCCCAAAGGCTCAGGTTGTTGACTAACTTTTGAAAAAGGGAAAAAGGTTTGGAAGAGGAGCTGCACACAGTCTATCATTGCTCGAAGAACCGCGTGTTGGACTTCACACCAGCCACTGAGTGAGTGAATGTCTGTCAGATACACATCCTGAATGGTCTTTGAGAGGATATATATAACCCTAAGATTATTTACACTGTCACCTTGCTCTCTCTCTCTCTCTCTCTCTCTCTCTCTCTATATATATATATATATATACACACACACACACACACACACACACACACACACACACACGAGTTCTCTCAACCTCATTTCAGACAAACATTGGATATTAATTGCAATATTCACCCTGGGAATTGGTGGCCAAACTTTTCCCTTTCTTCGCTTCGAACAAGACTTGTTTCATTAAGACTTATACAAGACAGGCATAAACTAAAATATTTCATCATTTAAATATCAGCAAAACCGTTCTATCAGTTTCATGTAATTATATCTGATATACTAGCATTGTTCCGTCTCCCAGGAACCTGATTTGCCTCACTATAAAGTTGATTGTGGTTGCTTCCTCTTGCATTTTCTCCCAGGGCTGCTGCATCTTTGCAAGAGTCCTAAAAGTTAATAGTATCAGAGTCTGCAGGCCTCTTTGCAACCATTGGCTTAGAGAGCAACTCTTTGAGTTTAGGGACCGCCTTTTCTCCCAGGGAAAGATCTCCATTTTAGATTCTCCCCTGCCTTTTCAGTTTGAGGAAAGACTTCAGGCGTGCTGAATGGGAAAACCATTGCAAAAACTACTCTTTAGATAAGTATTACGCTAAACTGAGACAGTTTGTTGTGTTTTGAGCTGTTTTTGAGATATTATAGACAGATAAGCTTAGTTGAGAAGATTGAGTTATATAGTTATAGAGAAAGAGTCGTAACTGCTTTGTCTCCAGGACTGACCTTAAGTATATGTTTTATGAATTGGTCAGCACACCTGGCCACAAGCAGTGGGGCAAGGTGGACTCATGCTCTGAACCCTCCTTGAATGCACTGGCGTACACATTTGTATCATTAGCTGCTAGGTTTCATGCCCACAATGGCAGAAGATCCAACTATGACTGGGCCAAAATACCAGCCCCTTCTTGCCTTCCCATCTAAGCTGCAGGGTCCTTACTGTCATCTGTAACCCCCTAAACTACTTAGAGCAGCGGTTCTCAACCTGGGGGTCGCGACCCCCAGAGGGGTCATTGGTCCATTTTTGGGGGGTCGCGAAGCTGCCTTGGTTGGCCCCGCCCACGCCAAAATGGCTGTTGTTGGGTATTTGTGCCAAATTTGGTCCAGTGAATGAAAATACATCCTGCATTTCAGATATTTACATTATGATTCATAACAGTAACGCAATTACAATTAGGAAGTAGCGATAATAATTTTATGGTTGGGGGTCACCACAGCGTGAGGCGCTGTATTAAGGGGTTGCGGCATTAGGAAGGTTGAGAACCACTGAGTTAGAGGGCTACAGAATGGGCTGAGTCAAGGAGTGAGTGTATGTCCATTACCTCGGTTGCGTAAATGCACTGTTCCATCTGGTCTGGGATGATGTAGATGGGGTGGTAGGTGCCGTCCTTTGGGTATCCAGCGGGAACAGCGGACCGGATGGGCTCAGACTTTTTACTGCAGTGGGGAAAGAAGAAGAAGGTATTAAAAAGTGGCGGGGACACACAGTTCTTTTCCTTTGAATAAACAAAGGAGAAGAATCTGGTCATGGCAATAGGAAGTCTTCACCAAGGGATCGGTGAATTAAGTTTCAACGCTGGAGCTTTAGTTCGTAAGCTTTGATTGTAGGGGAGACAGTCAACTTCAAACATGCCACTGGAGATATTCCAGGTAGTCAGAAGCCATCAAATTGAGATGTTGATGCCTGTTGTGGCCAATTTGCATGGTGTTTATAGTTCAAAGTGTCTCTGTCTAGTTCAACTTCTTTAAATGTTTTCGCTTAGATGTAACTAAGGTGTCATCTCGACTTGCTGCTTGTCAGGATGTGGAGAAGTTGCCTAAACCAACAGTGTGCTCCTTGGATTCTTGCCTTTTGAAATTGTCCAAGGCTGGATCTTCTTGGTATCACCTGAAATGAATGTCTTCTGCAGGAATGGTCTGGCCTCAACAGCTTTGAAGGAGTCAGCCACTTTTAAAGATGCAACTTTTGAAACCTATGCCCAGTTTGTCATTCTTGGGTGGAAAACGTTATGTCAACTCCAGAGAATCTTGGAAATTCATTGAAGTACATGCATTCTGGCTTCTGCCCATGGTTTGAATCATGGTGTTGGGGTTCAGCCTGTGTGTGAACCTGAACCTGATTCTCTGATTGTATTTCCTGATGCCAATGAAGCTGTTGATTCTGAGGGCAATGTAGAAGATGATGGTTTGTGTAGTGAAACTCCTGCAGCCTTGGTAAGTGAAAGTCCAAATTCCCATGAGAATATTTCAGAGCCAAGCGGTGAACTTTCACTCCCTTTTCCTCCCAGTCTTAGCTCTCCAGAGAATCTGACACCTGGTCTTTCTAATGAGGATAGGAGAGGGCAGATTTGGCAGAGCAGGGGAGAATCTCAGAGTTTACAAAGGTCAGCTAGACTGAGAGAAATGCAAAAAAAGCCTGCAGGCATGTCACGTAATAGATTTCTCGGCCTTAAGTACCTCTCGCCTGGATGCATCTTCAGACCAGGCATCGTTCCAGACTCAAGCATCATCCTTGGCAGATCGCCTGATTCCAGTGGCTTATTCCTAAGAGGCTTCCTAGTTGCTTCAAGTACGGTTAGTGGATTGCTAACAGGTTCCAGGATTTAGCAGTGTTACTGTGAGTTTTTGATCTTGTTCATGGACATTTCTTGTTGCTGATTTTTACTGTGGCTTTTTACCTTGCATATTTCCTCTATTTTTGTACTCATCTTTCTTCAATAAAAAGGATTGTTTTTCCTGAAGTCAAGTGTGGTGGATTGTTGTCTGAGGGTCCAGTTTCCTGCTCTGGGTTGCAACACATGGGTGACTTCCTTGGAGGAATGAAAACCTTTTGATTTTCCCAGACACCATGGGCGAAATCCACATTGTAATTCCATCAGCAAAGCTCCAGTAAGGCTTCTTTTCTCCTTAATCACCAATCAGTCTTTATATCCTTCTGAACCAAGTTTCTTGAACGGGATTTCAGAGAATGGTGTTGCAGTGGGTCCCATCTTATTTGGAAAAGGAAGGTTGAGAAGATGGTGCTCGGGGACTAATATTTCACCAAAGCTCTTTGCATCATTTCCAAAATTAGTATCCGGGAGTTCAGCTGCGCTGAGTCCACCAATCTGTCTCCAGATTTCCACCAGACTAGATGTATGTAGCGCTCAAATGAACCAAACTGTAGGGTCAGAATCCAGATGACTGACAAGACTCAAGTCCTCCCTGTAGGCAAAGACTTCAAGGCAGCTAGGAATCAATGTGGTACAGTGGTTAGCACCAGCTAACAACTCTGGGGACTAGGGCTCAAATTCCTGCATAGTCATGGAAACCCATTAGATACAGTGGAAGACAATGGTAAACTTCTTCTGAACAAATCTTGCCAAGGAACCCCTGTGATAGGTTCACCACTACCATAAGTTGTAAACATCTCCCCCAACCCTACTTTAGAGCAATGGAGAGACATAGCAAAATGCCTCCTAGTATTCCTTGCAAAAGAAAACCCTATATAATGTCAGAAATATTAAAAATTATCTGGGTATTTTGGATTACAAAAGTGTGAGTCAAGCACTGAAAGAGTGAACAGGCCAAAGCCTGTTCGAGTCAGAGAGCCAAAGCTAATGTCATCCTGAGGAGTGTGAGGTCAACCTCTGTGTGAGAGAAACCTAATGTGAGAAAGCTCCAGTGTGAAGGCTGCTGCGTATAAAGCTACTATGTGTTTGTTTGTGTTATGGAAACCTAGTATTATTTTACTACAAAGAAAAGCCTCCTATGGAAGAGATAACATTGGTTATTCTGGTACAGCTGTACCAGGAGCTCCAATTTTGTTTGCTTTGTATTGAATGTTTGTTTGCAGTCCTAAGTTTCAGGGACTCTGCAGATAGGTGGCTTCTTTTGGCTGCAGTTATAGGGCAAGTCACCTGTCCATCATTGTTAAGTTTGGTCCCGCCCCTTGCTCAGGGCAATTGGGAAGGGAAGGGAGCCATTTTTTAGTTAGTCTCAGCAAGGTTAGTCAATGTACAGGACGTGTGTAAACTTCCCCTGTACAAAAGCTTCAACCTTTAAGAACTCCAGGGAAGCATTCCCACAGCTTTACGAACTCCAGGGAAGCATCCTCACAGCTTTACAAATTTCCAGGGAAGCATTCCCACAGCTTTAAGAACTCCAAGGAAGCATCCCCACAGCTTTACGAATTTCCAGGAAAACAGCCCTAAAGACTAAAGAACTTCAGCTGGAGAACATCTACTGCCTTGCTGGTAGGTCCACTCAGCGTTCGAGACGCAGTTCGACCCGGTAGCGGAGCCCATATCAGTAAGGGTTAGATTTCAGTCAGCCTGGGAGAAGTTAAAAAGGGGGATTTTCCTTTAAAGAAGAAGTTATTGAAGTCAATTGCCTGTCCTTTGTGGGCAAGATTAGGAATTCACCAGTTCCCTAAAAGCTTGGAATCATTTGCTTAACCTTACTGAAGACAAGAGAAGTTTCTGTTTGATTGTTCATTAATAAAAGACTTTGTTGTACTTTTCAAGCCACCTAAAGACTGTTTGTGGTGGAAACCTCTGAGAACTTCTCCTTGGGCCCCTGGCTTCCTGCTGGGCAAAGGTTACACATCCTGTTTTAAAGACAATTAATTACAGGCCCAGCGTGCGACAGAACATTGGTCTCTGTTTTTTTGTCTCTTTAGGCTACTGGTGCTGGATCACGCTGCTGCTAATAAGTTACTCTACTATACATTTATGAGGAGGGTCTTGTTAATAAGCCCACTTACCCAACATAGAATTCAAGGGGTTCCAATAAATTGGCAGGTTGTTTGAAGGTACAAACACACCCAAACTAATGTTTTCACCACCACCTCTGCCTGGTTATCTCCAGTGCAACAATCAGAGATGGGATTCCTGTTGCAATCCCTCCTTGAACTAAAAATCATTCATGGGAAAATAGCCTGCTGCACCCTGATTTGTGGAAGAGGAGACCTCCATCACCGGCAGAAGCTGGTGCCTAGTAAAGCAGGATTTGCGGAGGGGGGGGGGGGTTGTAATCCCTATGTATTTGCTATGCTATTGAATACATAGGACCAAGGATATGAATCTGTCATGGATGCATAACTCTAGGTTATGGAATCGTAAATTCCAGCCAATGTTTCCCCCTGGTTCTTCAATTCCACATCCATTTCCCAATTACTGGCAAAGAAGACAAGAGGGCACCACTTACTTCTCCAGCTTTTTGCAGACAGACTCACGGCTCTGGTCCAGCAGCTTCCGCTTGCAGTTGAACTGGTCACTACTGAACCTGGATTCTCTGTTGGACACCTTAAAGCACCCAGGCGGGATTAGGAATCCATCCCTCTCCTTGAAGTTGTTGATGGTTGCCAGGTCGTTGCGGACACTGCTTTTGACCGCCTTGTGGCCCTGCCTCATGTGCCGAAGCATTGCTGCGGTGGCACAGGCGGCAAGCACCAACATCATGAGACCCAGAGTAAAGGAAACAGCCAGCGCGACAGGGAAAGGGCCTTCGGCCACCCGTTGACTGCTGACGGGGGTTGGGATCTGGACTTTGAATTCACAGTTGGAACCCATGTAGCCTGCCGAACACTCGCAGACGTGGCCGGAGAAGTGGGTATAGCAAGTGCCGCTGTTCAAGCAGGGACTGGAGCCACAGGCATCCATGCGGGTGCTGCAGTCCTTCCCCCCGTAGCCCAGTGTGCAAGAACAGGTGTAGCTGTTTGGACCATCGATGCAGGTGCCGCCATTGGCACATGGGTTGCCCGCGCAGTCATCAATGTTCAGCTCACAGAAGGAGCCAACAAAGCCCGGGCGGCATTTGCAGATCATGCTGCGGCCCAGATCCAAACAGTGGCCGTCTGGAAAAGGAAGGAGAGAAGATTAAAATGGATACTCCACCGCAGATATCAGAAGAGATGCAAGACAACCGAGAACAAGCCACGAGAGTCAAGACAAAGATCCACCCAGAGGAAAAGGGTTCTTGCCAGACATCAAGGGAACCACTGACCGCAGAGGGAAGCTGATGAGGAAACACAACATACAAACTATCTACAGACCCACCAAGAAAATCCAACAAATGCTACGTTCAGCAAAGGACAAGAGGGATCCTCCTCACCTCTGCAGGAGTCTACCGTGTACCATGCAGCTGTGGACAAGTCTACAGAGGGACCACCAAACGCAGCATTGCCCAAACACGAATCAAGGAACATGAAAGGCACTGCAGACTACTTCAACCAGAGAAGTCAGCCATAGCAGAGCACCTGATGAACCAGCCTGGACACAGCATATTATTTGAGAACACAGAAATGCTGGACCACTCTCACAACCACCATGTCAGACTACACAGAGAAGCCATTGAAATCCACAAGCATGTGGACAATTTCAACAGAAAGGAGGAAACCATGAAAATGAACAAAATCTGGCTACCAGTATTAAAAAACTCTAAAATTACAACAGCAAAACAACAGAGAGGAAACAAACAAGGACATCTAATCACCTCTCAACAAAAGTTTGCTCCAGGCACTGTCAGGCCATTATATGCTAATCAAGGTGGTCATTGAAACATTCACACTTAGCTCCAGCAGACAAGGGTCCTTTGTCCCACCCTGGTCATTCCACAGATATATAAACCCTTTTTCCTAGTTCCAACAGACCTCACTACCTCTGAGGATGCTTGCCATAGATGCAGGCGAAACGTCAGGAGAGAATGCCTCTAGACCATGGCCATATAGCCTGAAAAAACCTACAACAACCCATTACACAGGATGGTCGGCACACTCTTGGGAACTTCATCAGCTCATTTCTGGCTACCTCCTGCAAGAAGGCAACCAGGCATCTCTGTTTCTACAGCAGGTTAATTATTTGGACTGAGTTGCAACAAAAATATAACATATCTGAGAATGAGACAAGCAATCTATATATATAAAATCCTAATGGTCATGCATAGGCGCTCAAAAACGGAGAAACCACTGGACCAAATCTTACCAAATTTGCCCTTCAGATGCCTCATCCCCCAAGGTATGACCAACAACCCCCAACATTAGTAAACACAACAAAACAAACACAATTTCCGATAAACACGGAGCATGTGCGCAGAAGCCTCGGGAGGAAGACGATAAGGAGGAAGGACTCCATTTCCCAGCTTACCCCGCACCCAAGTCACCCTCCGCATGCGCACTGCCTTTTTCTAAATTTTCTAAATCCAGAACAAAGCCTAACTGGCTAAAAAGCACTAAAGCTTCCAATATCTTCCCAGCCCCCTCCCCTAGAGCTGTCAAAATGGTTCCTTCCTGTGCTATCTATTCTATTCCCCTCCCTTCCCCCCCCCCCTCCCGCCCCGCAATGGTATCGCCCAAGCGCAGAAGAGAAAGCGTTCCTGGCTTCCCACTCTTTTTTTCCTCCTCCCCCCCTCCACCTCTGACGGTGGTCTCTCCCCAAAGAGAGAGAGAGGAAGACCCCCCCCCCTTTCCTGGCGCCGAGTGGTTTCGCCAGGCGGCCGCGCGGCTGCTCCTTTCGCTGCTTCCTCGGCGCGCTTTCGCTCTCTCTCTCTCTCTCGCTCTAGCGCACCAAGACGAGAGAGAGAGAGCGAGGAGAGAATTGTCCTTGCTGGGATTTATAGTTTACCTACAATCAAAAAGCATTCTGAACTCCACCAATGATGGAATTGGGCCAAACTTAGCACACAGGGCTCCCATGACCAACAGAAAAAACTGGAAGGGTTTGGTGGACATTGACCTTGAGTTTGGGAGTTGTAGTTCACCCACATCCAGAGAGCACTGTGGACTCAAACAATGATGGATCTGGACCAAACTTGGCACGAATTTTCCATATGCCCAAATATGGACACAGATGAAGTTTAAGGGAAATACACCTTGACATTTGGGAGTTGTAGTTGCTGGGATTTATAGTTCACCTACAATCAAAGAGCATTCTGAACTCCACCAATGGACCAAACATGGCACGCAGGACTTCCATGACCAACAGAACACACTGGAAGGGTTTGGTGGGCATTGACCTTGAGTTTGGGAGTTGTAGTTCACCTACATCCAGAGAGCACTGTGGACTCAAACAATGATGGATCTGGACCAAACTTGACACAAACATTCCATATGCCTACATATGAACACAGATGGAGTTTAAGGGAAATACACCTTGACATTTGGGAGTTGTAGTTGCTGGGATTTATAGTTCACCTACAATCAAAGAGCATTCTGAACTCCACCAATGATGGAATTCAACCAAACATGGCACGCAGGACTTCCATGACCAACAGAACACACTGGAAGGGTTTGGTGGGCATTGACCTTGAGTTTGGGAGTTGTAGTTCACCTACATCCAGAGAGCACTGTGGACTCAAACAATGATGGATCTGGACCAAACTTGACACAAACACTCCATATGCCTACATATGAACACAGATGGCGTTTGGAGGAAATAGACCTTGACATTTGGGGTTTGTAGTTACTAGGATTTATAGTTCACTACAATTAAAGAGCATTCTGAAACCCACAAACGACAGAAATGGGACAAACTTCCCACACAGAACCCCCATGAGCAACAGAAAATACTTAAGGCCATCCAGTCCAACTCTCTTCACCAGGGCAAGAAAATGGAATCAGAGCCCTCCTGACAAAGAGCCATCCAGTCATAAATACAGGTAGATAGATAGATAGATAGATAGATAGATAGATAGATATGATTCTCTATCTCACACACAGATATAGTATCACAGATTTGAAAGGGACCCCTAAAGAAGGTCAATGATATGTTGTATATTCCAGAGTAGACAAACCAGACACTCTCCACATCAACACGGACAAAAAAACAACAAGAAATACTGTTTACTCACAAGCAGGAAGGAATTACATATATTAGAAACCAACACTTTCTCATTACTTTATCTTCCAGATCACCAGACTGGGCCACAGCAACACGTGGCTGGGGACAGCTAGTATATATATATATATATAATTCATTACATCTTAAAGGCAGGTAACATACTTACATGGCCTTTCTAGGGTATGTTGGGAGCTGTAGTTTTGTGTAGTGGTAGATAGCTACTAAATGGACAGCTCTCACAGTGGACCTTAAGGCTGTTTTGCTTAAGAAAAAGAAGTGGCAGCTGGCAGTACATAGATGACAGAAGGAGAGAGATGTGAAGAACGTGGATGTGGGGAATCTTTCCCCCCATTCTTTCGTACCTAAAGCTAGGATTATCCACTGAAGCTAAACAACAGGAGATTGCAACGAATCAGAATGGGGGACACCTGGCTCGATAGCAGTACATGTGAAAAAGATCTTGGAGTCCTCGTGGACAGGAAGGTGAACATGAGCCAACAACACAATACGACAGCTAAAAAAACCAATGGGATTTTGGCCTGCATAAATAGGAGTCTAGTGCCTAGATCCAGGGAAGTCATGCTACCCCTCCGTGGATCTGTGGTTAAGCGAACGAACCCAAGGGGGTGATTCTCCCCAATGCTTCCTCCTCTTAATCCTGGAAAGAAGTGAGGAGTGCCAGAAGTAGGGTTCCATCCTGGGCCCAGTTCTGTTCAACATCTTTGTTAATAACTAGCTGTACCCGCCACGCTTTGCTGTGGCCAACCTTCCCTCTTTCTCTCCTTCTTTTCCTCCTTCCTTCACTCCCTCTTTCCTTCCTTCCTTCCTTCCTTCCTTCTTCCTTCCTTCCTTCCTTCCTTCCTTCTTTCCTTCCTTCCTTCCTTCCTTCTTTCCTTCCTTCCTTCCTTCCCGTCTTTCCTTCTCTTCTTCCTTTTTCTTTCTCTTCTGCTCTCTCCTCCTTCTCTCTTTCCTTCCATCCCTCTTCCTCTACATCTTCCCCCTTCCTTCGCTCCCTCTTTCCTTCCTTTCCTTTTTTCTTCTCTCCTTCCTTCCTTCTCTAATTTTCCTTCCTTCCCTTTTTCTTTCCCTCCCTCTTTCTCTCCTTTTTTCTTTCTCTACCTCTTTCCTTCCTTTCTCTCTTTGCTTCCATGCTTCCTTCTCCCTTTCCCTCCATCTTTCTTCCTTTCTCCTTTCCTTTCCTTTCTCCTTTCCTTTCCTTTCTCCTTTCCTTTCCTTTCTCCTTTCCTTTCCTTTCTCCTTTCCTTTCCTTTTTCCTTTCTCCTTTCCTTTCCTTTCCTTTCCTTTCCTTTCTCCTTTCCTTTCCTTTCTCCTTTCCTTTCCTTTCTCCTTTCCTTTCTCCTTTCCTTTCCTTTTTCCTTTCCTTTCCTTTCCTTTCCTTTCCTTTCCCCCTCTTTCTTCCCTTTTTTCTGTATTGTCATTTAGCTTTTTGTCATTTACCTTTTTGGGGCTTTTTAAGTCCCTTCTGCTATGTTTTTCAGTGGGTTTTTCTGAGTGAAGGACATAGATTGCTTTGGCAGGCATCTTGTGTCCAAATTTGGGGTCAATTCGCCCAGCGGTTTCTGAGTTCTGTTAATCCCACAAACGAACGTTACAAGTTTATTTATATAGATTGAGAGGAAGAGTTAGAAGGCATCATCATCAAGTTTGCAGATGGGACAAAATTGGAAAGGAGAGCCAATACTCCAGAAGACAGAAGCACAATTCAAAACAATCATAACAGATTAGAGAGATGACTGGCCAAAACTAACACAATGAAGTTCAACAATGCAAGATACTTTACTTAGCTAGAAAAAATGAGATGCAAAGAGACAGAATGAGGAACACCTGGCTTGACAGCAATACATATGAAAAGGATCTTGGAGTCATCATGGACAGGAAGGTGAACAGGAACCAACAATGCAATGCAGCAGCTAAAAAAAGCCAATGGGATTTTGGCCTGCATCAATAAGAGTCTAGTGCCTAGATCCAGGGAAGACATGCTTTTGCCCTCTATTCCATTCTGCCTTGGTCAGGCCACACCTGGAATCACATTGTGTCCAGTTCTGGGCACCGCAATTGAAGGGAGATAATAATTATAATAAAACTTTATTTATATACTGCTCCATCTCCCCGAGGGGACTCAGAGCGGTTCACTTACTGTTCAAGCAGGGGTTGTTACTACACCGGTCTATCTTCTTCTCGCAATTGGAGCCGTGGTAGTTTACTGGGCAGTGACAACTGTAGCCACCCAAGCGCTTCTCCATGCAAGTCCCACCATTGAAACACGGTCCGTCAGCACAGGTCATGGCACTGATTTCACAATTCTTGCCGTAGAAGCCTTGAGGACAGGTGCATTTGTAGTCATTCTCCAAGTCCTGCAAAAGAAACAACTAAAATTAGGATTTTTTACCATTTGTGAAAGAGAATGGGACACCAACTGAATTAGGGTTGTCTTGTGTAAGGCCACCTGAAAGGCAATGTCAACCTGGCCCAGAAGCAGTTGGTTGCTTGGTTGGCCAATTAATCTGTTCCATTGATAGATATGAGCTTTCAAGTGTGCTGAACTCAATTCCTAAATGGTTTCAGCACCTTAGATCCTTTGACGCTATTATTATTATTATTATTATTATTATTATTATTATTTAGAACTTTTATATACCGGTCTTCTCGACCTCCGCAGAGGGACTAAGGCCGGTTCACAACAAAAGATTCATAAACAATAGTTTAAAATCACATCACATAATGCACTAATACAGTGGTTCTCAACCTTCCTAATGCCGCAACCCCTTAATACAGTTCCTCATGTTGTGGTGACCCCCAACCAGAACCCTAACATTATGAATCGCCATGTAAATAATGATCTGCAGGATGTATTTTCATTCACTGGAGCAAATTTGGCACAAATGCCCGGTATGCCCAAATTTGAATACTGGTGAGGTTGGCGGGGGGATTGATTTTGCCATTTGGCAGTTGTAGTTGCTGGGATTTATAGTTAACCTGTAAACAAAGAGCATTCTGAACCCCCTCCAACAATGGAATTGAACCAAAGTTGGCACACTGAACTCTAATGACCAGCAGAAAATACTGGAAAGGTTTGGTGGGCATTGACCTTGAGTCTGGGAGTTCGTCTACATGCAGAGAGCACTCTAGACTCCAACAATGATAGATCTGGACCAAACTTAGCACTGATACTCCATATGCCCAAATGTGAACACTCGTGGGGTTTTGGGAAAATAGATCTTGAGATTTGGCAGTTGCACTTGCTGGGATTTGTAGTTCACTGTTGTTTTGAACCCCAACAATGATAGAATTGGGGCAAACTTCCCACACAGAGACCCCCATGACCAACAGAAAATACTGTGTTTTCTGATGGTCTTTGGCGACCCCTTTGACACCCCTTCGCGACCCCTCCAGGTGTCCCGACCCCCAGGTTGAGAAACACTGCCCTAATACATAAAATACATTAAAATACAATCAAATAATTACATAAGGTCAAGTCATCAGAATGAAATCACAATTCATCACCATCTATCCGTGTGGTCAAGAGTTATTGACTCACTCATCGAATGCTAAATTCCAGAGCCAAGTTTTCACCAGCTTTCTAAAGGTCAGGAGAGAAGGGGGCAGTTCTAATCTCCAGTGGGAGAGAGTCCCAGAGCCGAGGGGCCACCACCGAGAAGGCCCTGTCCCTTGTCCCCACCAGACGGTGGTGGGACCGAGAGCAGGGCCCCTCCAGAAGATCTTAATAACCTTGATGATTCATAGGGGAGAATTCGTTCGGACACGTAAATCATCATGAGAACTAGTCATCATGGCTGACCTAACCCTATTTTCAATTTGGCTGCTTGGTGTCAAAGTCATCTCTCTTCTCATTTTCCCCACATTCTTTTTCCCTTGTGCACCTCACCTACTTGGTTTGTAAATCTGATGGAAAAACCTGCCTTTCGTTGTCCTGTGAGTATAAAATTGCTTTGGAAAGCAAATTTCAGAGAAATAGGAGGAAAAACATAACGCATTTCTCGAAGACCTGTGCAGTCAGCCTTAAAGGACCATATGTGGTGGAGTTGGTCTTCTTACCTTATGCCCTAATCTGTCAAAATTGCAAAATATCATCCTATATAGTCTGTTAGCAGTTCTACTGAAGATACTTACCTTAAAACGTTGATGTTTTTAATGGAGCAGTTGTAAGTAGGAATAAAAACCCATCCTGCACTTGCAAGCTTATACATCTTTGCATGTATTTTACCTCCAGGTGAGCCAAATGTGGTGAAGAAGTCCAACTTTTGCAGTGCTTCATTACGTACTGCTTTAGATTTAGAAAAGCTGAAGTTCATGCCTATTTAGATGTCATAGACCTTGTGTCATACCTATTTAGACATTATGGACCTTGTGGTGGTATATATACCCAAATTTGTATTCTTTTTCAGCTTTCAATCCAAGCTGCCATGCCTGCTGGGTCTTGAACAGGCCTGAGCAAACTTCCTCCAGGTGTTTTGGACTTCAACTCCCACAATTCCTAACAACCTCAGGCCCCTTCCTTTTCTGCTTAAGCAGCTGAGGGGTGAAAGGAAGGGGCTCGAGGCTGTTAGAAATTGTGGGAATTGAAGTCCAAAACATCTGAAGGGACGAAGTTTCTCCAGGTGTGGTCTTGAAGTTGCTTATGGCTGGTCTTGAAGGCGGCGTTGTCTGTAGACCACATGGAGTGCCGCTACCTTCCCGCTGGAGCGGCACCTACTCATATTTGCATGTTTTTGAACTTCTAGGTTGGCCAGATGTGGCCGGCATGACCACATGGAATGCCACTCCCTTCCCGCTGGAGCGGCACCTATTGATCTACTCATATATGCATGTTTTTGAACTTCTAGGTTGGCCAGATGTGGCCGGCATGACCACATGGAATGCCACTCCCTTCCCGCTGGAGCGGCACCTATTGATCTACTCATATATGCATGTTTTTGAACTTCTAGGTTGGCCAGATGTGGCCGGCATGACCACATGGAATGCCACTCCCTTCCCGCTGGAGCGGCACCTATTGATCTACTCATATTTGCATGTTTTTGAATTGCTAGGTTGGCCAAAGCTGGGGCTAACACTGGGAGCTCATCCTGTTCTTCACATTCAAACTGCCAAACTTTCGATCAACCATTTCAGCAGCTCAGCAGTTTAACCCGCTGCACCACCAGAGCAAACGAAGTCTAAATTCTCGTAGAGATTGAGGATGTTGACTACCTTTGAACTACAGGGTTATCTGTTGAAAATGCCAGAAATATATTCTTGCATTTCAAGAAGGAAATCTAAGTTTGCAAAATGACTCTGGGGTAAAGGAATTGCATCAGTGGAGGAGATCCAGGTTGGAATTCATTTGTGATTGGACTTTTAACAGTGGATATCTGACAGGAGTGAAGAGATTAAGACGAAACCAGCCAGCTAGCACCAAGGACACTATTATTCCATTGCCTTATTTCATTCCACCTGCAACCTTTTCCCACCTCCAACCCTTACCTATAGCAGTAATTCTCAACCTGGGGTCCCCAGATGTTTTTGGCCTTCAACTCCCAGAAATCCTAACAGCTGGTCAACTGGCTGGGATTTCTGGGAGTTGTAGGCCAAAAACATCTGGGGACCCCAGGTTGAGAACCACTGCAATAGAGGTAACCCCCAGGGCTGTAAACGTCAGGGGTGAAGGAACGTCCTTCAGAGCCTCGCCACTCACTCCTGGTGTGTCATGAAGGTGTGTTACTTGACACTCAGCAGTGTAGACCAAGGCATTCTTCATATGCACAGAATTTTTCCCAGTGCAATTGTGGCATTCAGAACAGTTTCTGAGCCACTCACCACTGAAGTCCAGTGACATTGGAAGGTCCACATGATTCCCACCGCTAATATAAATTATGGGCATTGCATTACTTTTTCCAGGTACCTCCTGAAATTCTCTGCCTTAAGCTGCAAGACAAGGAAGGTACAAAAGATGCTACCTAGGAGAGTGAGAAAATATAGTTCCACTCTAGACCAGTGGTTTTCAACCTGGGGTCCCCAGATGTTTTTGGCCTACAACTCCCAGAAATCCTAACAGCTGGTATACTAGCTGGGATTTCTGGGAGTTGTAGGCCAAAAACATCTGGGGACCCCAGGTTGAAAACCACTGCTTTAGACGTTATTAGGATGATAGTCTATAGGACTTTATCAGTAGTATTGCTTTAGAGAATCTAAGAGACTTGCCAATGGGTAGTTGGCCAAACCTGGGTAGTTTGGGTAGTTGGCCAAGCCTGAAATGTAAACAACCTCTGCCCAAATTTTATGAAGGTGGTGATTTGAAAAGATCTGTTGTATTAATATGTTGTGCAGAGACGAAGTCTAAAAGGCCAAACACCCACAACTGACCCTCAATAAATCTTGCAGGTTTGTCTGGTTGAAGCCAAGAAGAGTGTTGAGGAACCTTCAGGTCAGTTTCTCCTCCAGGTTCAAAGTATATGCCCATCTCACCACCTTGTGTGTCAGCAGCTGCCAGGTTTTGAGCCAATTTTCCCATCCCCTCCATGTGCCTATAAAGGTTCAAAGCTGTACCTTTGAACTGAAATCTTACCCCACGTAAACAGAAAGGCACCAGTGAGAGGAACAACCTTTCCTTGATAAAAAGGAAGATACTACTAATGGCGGAGTCTGGTCAGCTTTGCAACTGGGGTACTCAAACACGGAAATTGGCCTGCTTCCCTCCCTTCTCAAAATAACCCAATTATCATAAATCTATTGCTTTGGATAACTTTTAAGGTTGCAAATGTACTCTTAACCCCAATGCTACTTTCTGTGTGGGATAACTAATCTTGTTAAGATGATAGCTAGCTGGCAACTAGTGTGACATCCAAAAGCAAAGGTGCATCTAGCGACAGTTCCTTCTTGGATTGGGAAGTAGAAGACATACATTCTTGCTGGGTTGACAGGCCCTTCAATGTTGAGTAGGTATGATAGTAATAACCAAACTGAAGAAATATAAGGCAGTGGACTTTGGGGAAGCAAGGATTCCTCGTAGCTAGGCTCTGGCATTATGTATGCAAATGCTGCAAATTGGGAACAGCAGTGTTCACCCTGAAGAAAATATCAATCATAGAAAAGTTCAGTAAGTGACCCCATTGCATTTATAAAGTTGTTGTCCTAGGGTGCACCAGTGTTGGTCCTGTATGTTAACTAGTTGTAGTGCATTTCCTTGATATCATGGGACTTGCATCTAAATAAGTACACTTAGGCTGTGGCTGGACGTTTTCTTCTTGTGCTACCGTGCGCCTGTCACACCAACATAATTTTCTTTCACCTTTCAAGGTCTTTCAGGTTCTTGTTGTGTCGAAGTTCTAAGTGAAAGTCCAGCACCCTCAACAATGAC